ATATCACCACTATCACTTCACTTTTGTGTAACTCACTAGGCATGACAATATGTGTTCTTCCCTTCTTTCATGGCAATAAAATATTCACTTTTTTTAGTTGGACATATGACTTCCTGGGGAAAACATTGCATTTCCAGCCTCTCTTGCAGCTAAGTGTGATCATGTGACTAAGTTTTGGTCAAAGGGATATAAGCACAAGTGGTGTACAGAGGTTTTGGGAAAATGTTCTCAGAGATAGAAGGCATGCCTTTCTTTACCTTACTTTTATTTTCTAACCAGCTGGAATACAGACATGATGAATGGAGTTTGAATAACTATTTTGGACCATATGATGAAAGTCATTAGTTAATGAAGATCTATCTACAATACAGAAGGAGTATGAGTTTCTAATGATTTCATGGGACTGGCATGCCATTCCCAGATATCCACCCTTTGGACTTTTTTCCATAAAATAATTAAACTTTATTTCCAAAATCCACTGTTAACTTGGATTTCCTATTGCACATATTACAATATAACCTTTACTGACACACTAGGACATTGGCTATCTTAAAGAAGAAGGAAGTATTACATTCTGTTTTCAGTTCAATTAAATTCCATACACACTTATTGAACACCTACATCTATGCCACAAAATTTGACCACTCCTTTCTTGAAACCCTGCTCTCCCTTATGACAGTTCTCCCTTGTTTCTCCCTCTTACCTATTTACCATATACTTTCCCAAGTCCCCTTTCTACCCATATAATCTAGAAGCACAGAGGCTCCTCAATATTATGACCAATATTCTTCTATCTCTTCACTCAATACACCCTCCCTGTTATCCTCATCTATTCATATAGTTTCAACTCTCATCCAGTTTCTGTGAATATTTCTCACATCTCCATCTCTATATGCTTTCTCTCCCAAACCCTCATACTTACGCTTCTTATAATGTTAAATTCTGGTTGGGTCTTTCAAATGAAACTTCTCTTTCTGCTAGTATTTCCATCTTCCAGCAATTCACCAAAAGGAAGAACACAAAGAAAAGGAGAAGTACCCACTTCCATTTCTCTAGGTATTTTTGAAAAAATGAACTTGTTTCTTTGGCCAAATACATGTGAGTCTATAAGAAATGTGACACTGTAGACATCAAGGAAATAGGTACCATTTAATAGTTCAAAAATGTAACCATGACAAAGGAGAGTGTACAGGGGCACATACCGTGTGCTATTGGCATTGCTGTAAACAGACAAGTTAAGAGCAGATACTTGCCAAGATAATTAACATACATTTTGGCATATTAAAGACTTTAACAGTCAACTTAGTTTTATGAGATGTGTGAAAAAAGTAATAATATAAATAAAGGGGCCAAAGACAAAGATACTTGGATTCAGCTGAAAAGCTATTCTGCTCCACTCAGGGAGGTACACTTTTCAAAAACCAGTAGCAAGGAACCTGACCTTTCAGAACCTATCCTCTATTGTTGTAAAAGAAATAAAAAATTTGGAGTGTGATCAAAGACTCAACTTTTCAGAACTCCCTGCCATGGGTCTTTTAATCAGGAAAAGCTCAAGGGCCTTGATATTGTTACCTGCAGGTTATGTCAAATGTTCCACCAGCCTGGATTACCACTTGGTCTCCAAGAATACTCATCTCTGGTTTCATCATGATCTCTTTATTTGCAAGACCTGAACCAAGACAAAATTTGTTGCTATTAGAATTTATCAATTAGTCATCAGATGTATCTAAATAACATTTCACATTC